ACTGTAAGCGCATAAATGGCAGCACCGTTTGTATGCTCCCGCAGGTAGTTAAGAAAGATATTGGCTGGTTGTATAGGCCCTATAACCATGGATAACAATTTGTGAACCGCTTAGAGACGACCTACGAATTAGGTTGTGATAAAGTTGTATTTAAGAACCTCGAATTATTGTAATTAATTATTATCGAATTATTACTACGAACTGTTTCGATGATACTTGAAATAACGGAAATATCTATAACAACGCGCCACAGTATGCATAGGTAGTACTACTTTATAGTTTAACATTGAGAGGAGTACAGGGGATAACCTCATGAGATATGGACTTGCGTAAACATAAGGGTCCAACTTTGTAAGATGGATATCTTATGCCAAATTATGCTGTCGTAAAATGGCAATAAAATATGTTTAGACAATAAAACCAGGGAAAATTGTGATCGTTATCACTTATAACAACGTATTTTGTTATTGCAAAATGTGATTTCAATAACATGTATATACATTTTTTATCTCGCGTTCTGTTATTTTCTAGTCACAACATATGTTATTGATTACCCTAATCGAAAACTTATAATTTACTTAACTGTATTCTAAGGCAAGGATAGATTATAACCAATCGTATTGTCCTTCTGGAAGCTTGTCATCTATTCCCAATCCTCTCAGCGACAGCCTAAGATTTCCTACTATTCGTCTGTTAATACATTTAAATGGGTGGTGCAATGGATAACGTACTCGCCTTTCACCAAGACGGCCGGGTTCGATTCCCCGATCGGACGTGAAAAAGTTATGAGGTAACCTGTCCGACCACTTGTTTTTTCTGCAAGTACTCCGGTTTCCTCCCACACTAAGACCCATTCGGTCCAGCTAACATCCCGGCCAACAAGAGTGATTAATACAAGTTTTGATAACTTCTTTCAAAATTGTGATGAAAAGAAATAAAGTTGTTATTCAAACACTTATTTTTTTAAGGACAGCGTAACTGTGGAACAGCCTCTTTCCAGATACAACCGGAGTGCTTACATCGGATAACTTCAAGGCGTGACTTGTTTAGTTTTTTCAATTCGTGATATGTTTTATGATGATTCTACATAATTGAATTTCTTTTATAACAAAGAAATGAACAATTGTATGAGCTGCAAAATTTACTAAAATGGGGAAAATCTTCAGGCTCTCGGTTCATCAAAGATCCCGTCAATATTTGATTGTTAATTGTGTTATATCATGTTTTAGTTCCTTATGAAAATGTTATTCAACATGACTTCGAAAATATGACTTATTTATTAACTCTCCGTACCGCAACTCCGGTCCGGATTCCGTACCGAATGCACTTATTAGTCTCGCCCCCGCGCATATAACAAAATGGCGGATTATTAATGTACTTTTTAGACTAGGTTCATTTTCGCAGCATAATGACTAACTGGCAGCTGATCATGACTGAGAAATCGACATTTGTCTGGCAATAAACAATACGATTCCTTGTATTTAACACAGCGTTGTAGTGCAGGTTTGAAATGGGGATCGATTATGTTTACGAATGTGGAGTCGTTGAATTGTTTTCTAAATACAAGTAGATTTCAACAAGACTTATATTAGAATACTCAAATTTACTTCCATAAGTCTCAACAAATATCTGATGATGAATTTACGAGTGTTCGTATCGAATTAAGTTGCCGCCATCTTGTTTACATTTGAGGCACCAAATGCAAACATCTTGCGAAAAATGCGAAAACAATAATTTACATAATAAAAAAGTGTACTCTGCACAAATAAAATTATTTCTTCCAAACTGATGGGTTCTGATTTTAGCGACAATTAATTGTTTTTTCGCGACAGTATCGTGCAATAACCAACTTAACATCAGGCAGGTTACATCAGTCTCTTGGCGTGTGTACAAGACAACGGGGATGAGACGGCCCTTTATTTTGTCGTCTGTATACGACAACGGGGACCAGGATGACATATTGTTGTCGTGTGTACACGACAACGGGACGGAAAGAGTTAAACTAAACCTAATTTCCTAGAGTAGCATATTGGTTTTTAACACTTTAGAGTTTTGACTAAAGACCAAGACTTTTTTTTTCATGATTTTTAGCCGAATGCTGATAAACGTATATGGTGATATATATTTCATCTGACATGAGTTTTAAAGCTTTGAGTACATTTAAACTGTTGTGATTCAAAATCAAGTTTTTACTTGGCACAGGTATTGCTGATGTCAGTCTCCGAGACAACTTGACGGTCAAGGTCATTGATATTGTCCTGTCTTATATTTCTGTAAAACATAGTATGCTCCTAACAAAAAATACAAACATGTACATTCCTTTTACCAACTTCGCGAGCCAAGGGTGTTCAATACGATACTCTCCTATTCACCCTTGGCGGATCTCACGGCGAAATCGAAGTTCCCGCGAAGCGCCATCTAGTGGAAATTGCAGTTATGCCCCTTACTATCACATAACCACTGACCAATCAAATAGCTCGTACTATTGAACACCAAAACAGAAAAATGGGCGCGACCATAGATCAACGTGCTATATGCGATACATTCAGAATTAAGGAACTTCGAGACACACAGATACGGTCAATAACCGCAATTCAAAATGGAAAAGACGTTTTTGTTGGGACAAGAACAGGGAGCGGTAAATCTCTAGCTTATGAAAGCTATCCAGTGTTAAATGAAGGGAAAATCGTGCTGGTGGTTGCACCACTCGTCAATATCATGAACGAACAATGTCGCCGTCTCTGTGAATTAGGATTCAAGGCCACGTATATCGGAAAGGACGGCAGCGACACTGAGGGTATTTTAGCCGGACATTTTGATTTTGTATTTGGTGGCGCGGAGCATTTGGTAGAGGATACAAGATGGCGAGCTATGCTTAAATCTGACCCCTATCAGAGCAAACTTGGCCTGATAGTTGTGGATGAAGCTCACACCGTAATACAGTGGTAAGTTGCTTTAACAGCGTATTACACCTTACTCTATCGCAATTCAAAAAGAAAAAGATTGCATCAGAACATTTCCCAGTGGTTTTGAATAGTAACATGTGAAATTATTTAGCTTTGACTGCAGTCACCCTTCAAACATCTACAAATATCAACATAACAAAGCAACCACAAGTTAAACTGTTGATGACTAATTTTATGGAAAATAGAACATACACCCTATATGTTATTCTTTTAATTCAAGGGGCGAAGGCACAGAGAAGGAAGGACCATTCCGTGGCAGTTTTTCCAGAATAGGAGAATTGAGGTCGCTGTGCAACAAGGTACAGATGCTGGCTTTGACTGCAACTGCTGGGCCAACAGGGAGACGAAAAATTATGAAATCTTTATGCTTTAAATCATCATCAGAGGTGATTCTTGATTCTCCAGACAGGCCTAACATTAAGATAACTTCAGTGCGTATTCCAAATAATGATGACCTTTCCACTGTGTTCAAGTTCTTAATTGATGACTTTCTAAACCAAAAAGAAACATTACCGAGACATGTGATTTTTTGTGAAAGTATAGCAAATGTTTCAAAAGTGTATTTAACATTTCTAAAACATATGGGACAGTCTCGGAATCTCTTTGAAATGTACCACAGCAAGACAAATGATAAAATTAAGGAGCAAATTAGAAAAGACATGGCAGAAAATGATAAAATCAGAATTCTGATTTGTACCAATTCAGCTGGTATGGGTGTCAGTTTTCATAATGTGCACAATGTCATTCATTATGGCTTACCCAGAGAAATGGACACTTTTGTACAACAAATGGGTCGAGCAGGGCGTGATGGAGAATACAGCAAGCAACTTATTTTGTACAAGATGCACAAGGGACATCTTAGTAGAGTGGAAGGTGATTTGGTGAAACTTGTGAAAGATGATGCCACATGCAGACGTAAAACACTGTGTGATTCATACGTGACAGTACATGAACCTGTTATTCCGAAACATAAATGTTGTGATGTCTGTGAGAAACAATGTGATTGTGGTGAAGAATCCTGCCCCGATATCCATAGGGCATTGGCAGCTGATCCTGAAAATATGGAGGATGAAACTGTTGAAATGGAGCGAGAGGTAACCAGAGACGACAGAAAACTTTTGCGGCATAAACTTTCGGTGTTAAAATATTCACTTGAATCAGACCTAAGCAATGTTTTAATAACATCAGAAATTCTGCATGGAATCACTGATCAAGTAATTGATGATATTGTGCTTAAGTGTCATACAATTTTTACGACATCAGACATTCTAAAAATGTTCCCAGTTTGGTCGTTTGAAATAGCTGTCCAGATTATGAAAGAGATAAATACTGTGACTGGTGATTCAGATATGTATGACAGATGAAGACTCGGACTAATTATAAAGTTGTTTCTACACTTTTTATTATAAAATATGTGCATCTCATTACAATTTACTGTTTAAAAAAATATTATGTATACATATGTTATTGTAACACAATACACATCGATTAAAAGGTAGTATATATTGCAATATCTCACAGTGGTCATATTATCTTATATTTGTTACCATTTGAAATTATTAAACTGAGTTATATGAAAAAGTGATAATGATAGAGCTAGAGATGTAAAAAAAACTTGTGTCAAAAATTTCTCCTATTGTTTTTAAGGCATTCAATTTCAGTTGCACAATAAAACATGTCTGTACTATTTATTTTCAACTACATGTAATAAATTGTTGCCACCTATGCACCTGAGTCAATTTTTATCAAGGTTAAAAAAAAAAACCAAAAAAACAAGACATTATTTCATCATTAGTAAACAAATTAATTTCACAATTACATGGCTGTCACCTATGTATATACTAGGTTAAGTTTGTTTATATAGGACACTAACAGGTGGATTCATTGTGAGAATTGTTTTGCACATAAACTAGAGATAACAGCTAGACAAATGTAAAATTTTGTTAGAGACAATATGAAACATTAAACAGCATATACCACATCAAAGTTCTGAGTAAACTTGAATTTACATTATTGTATAATTAAAAAGTGCACTTACAGCAAGACTTTCATCAAGTCAAAAAATAGTACAGTTATAGCAATGCCACCATACTGAGATGAACAAACATGAACAGTTTTAAATCTATCCAATTAAAAGACGTTCTTTTGCTTGAGTTAACCAAGTATAAAACTCTTGAACTTTTACCCTTGCATACACATCCTTAAAGCCACAGAATGAATTGAATTCACGACCTGGGATTTTCTCCATAATGCCTGCTTTAACAATTTTTTCAACCATAAGACTGATATCCCCAGCTTTTGAAACTGCGGGTCTTTTTGTTCCAGACACTTTTGCATGACTTTGACTTGCTAGATTTTGCTTTATAGCATTTTGCACTTGCACAGTAAGTGCAGCTTTCCGTGCACTTTCATATGTTGCATTAGACCCCTGTGACTGCACTTTTTTCTTAATTGCTTGAACCTGAACTTCTACAAGATTGTCATTTGGTATGTTATGTCCTATACCTCCATGCAAGTTTGATGTGCAATTCCATTTGTATTCAAATGACATTTTTGGTGAAAGAATTCCATAAATGTAAGCCAAGAACCTGAACAACCAGAGCTGATATTTTGTGTGCTTTCCAACATTAGATAGCAATAGTTGAAATTTAGCAGTTTCTGCAATTCTGTCGCCATCAGCCATTTTATAGGAGTCCTCGATATCTCGTAACAGCAATGCACATTTCATAAACGAAGCTCTGTAAAGAGCAATATGATCTGGTGAATCAGCATTCTGTCTGTCAACTCCAAATGTCCACTCATGTTCTCTAATTAGATGTCGTTTCAAAAACCCAACTTTTTTGAAGTTTTTGCTGCATTCTCTACACTGGTACCTCTGCTCCGCAGCAACAAACAGTTCTTTTATAGCGTCATTTTGGGCTTCCAGTTCTAAAGTTTGTGCCTTAACCATTTCCAGATCTACAATTAAAGAAAAAATGTAAAGCCAAAATGGAATAAAAAAACTACTTGCTACCTTTAAAATCCAAGAATGTACAGTCAAAATGTTCTGACAGCTAAGTAGGGTAATGTAATAACATTCATTCCTTTCAGATTTGACATTTATAAATTAATTTTAATAAATATTAAATTATAATGTCTCAAACATGCACACAAAGCATGGAGCTGCATGTTGAACACCCTTGGCTCGCAAAGTTGGTTCAATACTGAAAAACATGAAACTGTACTTATTTTTATGCTAACTGCAGTTCTATAATATTTTGTTAACTTTGGCATGAAGGTTTTAAAAAGAAATGAACTACTTATGGAGACAATATATTATATCTTCAACTTGAATATTGTATCAGACAAGTTATAGCTGTAATTTTTCATATCATTGATATCTGCAGTAAGTTAATTATATATAAAGACACTTTTATTCAAAAATGCACTCAACTGTTTTCTACTTTGATGTATTTGTACAAAATATCTTTCGATATCTGATGAAGAAACTTGTATTTTGAATGGTTATCCACACCAGCAAATAGTGGTTGTTTCCTGTTGGGCTCAGAATCCATCTCACTTTGACCCAAAAGGTGCATACAGGCTGCCACAATGTAAGAGTCCAGGACATCATCCATGAATGAATAATGAGCTCTATAAAATAGTAGTAAAACACATGTCAAGTTTTGTTAAAACATACAAGTATTTATGAGAAAGAAAAACAAGACAGCTACAAAAAAAAACCATTGGAAAAAAAGTTAAATTAGTTGTTTTTTTTAAATTTGACTGAATTTTGTGCAATATACCTGTACTTGTCAATCACATTTTCTGCACCCTGAACATCAATACGGTTGATGACATTCCTCAAGTTTGCCAGAGTTCCTTGATCAGCAGCTGATGACTTTTTGTAAAAGACCTGGTAGATTAACTGAAATATAGATAGAAGGAATTAATGCAAAACTCTTTTGGTATGACATAAATGTCTTGAATTAATAAACATAAAAACAAATAAAATCACTTAACGTAAACTGAAATCTATATCAATAGTTTTAATAAATAATCTTATGTTAACATAGAAACATTGTTTCTAATAAAAAAAGACTATATATGGTAGTATTTTACCTTGTTACTTGAATGCCTGTAAGTGTTATAATTTTTTAATTAAATGCCACAAAATATTACAGAAATATAATGAATTCACTGGCTTAAAACTTTTGTATATTTTACAACAAGTGGTATTTGAATTAACAATTCTGTAAACAGTGTTAGTAATAACAGAGTTAGTAGCAACTCCCC